GGAAAGGAAGCAAAGAGCCCCTGCTGGGTCTGGAATGTCGCGGCTGGAGGTCCCCTCCCTGGCCCGGCGACTCCTGGCCAGGTCTGTCCCCCAGAGCAGAACAAAGAAGCCGCGAGGAGCGCTTCTGTCTCTCCTCGGGCGACAGCCCCAGCCCTGAGCTCCGCTCGCAGGAGCCCACTCCTGGCTCAGAAACTTCGCGGCCAACTTCCCCGGGAGTGAGCGCGCGCGGCGCGGGGTACAGTTAGGAGAAACGGGGACGACCGCATCCCGGGACCAGAGATGCCCACTTCCTCGCCCTCCCCCGGGCGATAGGAGCCTCTCCTTGCGCCGCCCGGCCCGGCCCCGCGCGCAAGGCGACCCACGGCGCGGGCGGAGGGGACCACGCGCTTTCCCCGCCGCCCTGGAAGATCGAAACGAGTTTCTTGAGTTCAGACGCGGGCAGCGCCGGGCAGTGGGGTCTGAAGAAATAGGCGGCAAACNGGGCACCTGCGCGGTTCCTCCTGGAGCCCCGGGTGTCCTGGGCAGCTCCTCGCCTCCTGGCAGCCCAGAAAGCCTCGTCTTAGGTTAGGGATCTGGAAACGCACCACAACCAGCCACACAGCGAAAACAGCCCCCACCCGCTCTCGTCTGGCACACTTTCCTCTTTGTTTAATTATGATGACTTCCAGAATTCTCTTTTTAGGAGAACTGTACCCTCCCCCCAACAAAACCTTCCTTTCCCCTATCCTCAGGCATCTGCTTGGAAAATAGTGAAAAGTAGACCATTCTAGTCTGCCTCTGGCAAATACTCGAGTTTAGGGCAAATCAACTAAAAGTCGCTAACTTCTACATAATACGCAATACTCCACTTCCTGTTATAGGGCACTGATTAAATCTTAAAACATGATCAAACCTTTGGCAATATCTACTGCTTGTCTCTCTTTTCTCAGGGAATGAGGGGTCAGGCCCCCTTGCTAGGTGGAAAGTCCACGTGGCTTGAAGGCTTTCTCCCTGCTTCCTGCAACACACCTGTCAGCTGCCTGAGGCATCTCCCTTTCCCAGCCTGCTTGTGGACAAAGTCATTCCTCCCAGG